ACTGAGGGACAAGCCCCTCTTGCCCCCGTGCATGAATTTCATGCACCGGGCCTCTAGTATGTAAATAATGTGTGTGGCTGTGTTCTAATAAAACTATATTTACAAAAGCTGGCCAGCTGGGGGCAGACTCCTGGAGAAACGCAGAGCTGGGAAGGGCCTCAGATTCCAGTAGTTTTCAGCCATGGCTGCACATGCTAAAATCACGGGAGAAGTTTTTCAACAACACATATGTCTAGGCTCCCCCCCAGACCAATTTCTTCAGACTTTCTGGGGGCGAGGCCTAAGCATTGGGTAGTTATTTGAGTTCTCCAGGTGGTTCCAATGAGCAATCTGGATTAAGAACCACTGGCCCAATCCAACTGCATCATTTTATATATCAGGGGCTGGAGCCCAGGGCTGTAAACAAGTTGTCCAAGTTCACACAGCCAGAGTGCGAGACATCCAAGGTGGCAAAGTGGCATTGGTTCTGATTGTGTAACTCCAGCCAGCCCTCTATCCATGACCCAGGCTTCCGCTCGAAGCTGGAAAGAAGATGCCTGCTGTTGTCTTTGTCCTTCTGACAGGTGATTTTCCCTCCTCCTTTCCCCCAGCCCCCATTAAGATTTAGGTGGCTTGCTTTATAAGCTAAGCTGAAGACGTGCTGCTGAGGGCACCCTCGGGACTCTCTGGAGGGGCAGATTTTGGGGGTTACCCATTTGGGAGGCAGCATAGAGGGCAGCTGCCAATGCAGGCTTTAGAGAACATCAGAGCGCCATTTACTAGCTGGGCGACTTGGAGCGAATTTCCCTGAGACTCAGTTTCTTCATTTCTAAGAATAGGGGCAATAATACCTGCCTCGTGCGAGTGTTGTAAGAATCAGAAGAGATTATGCATGTGAAAAGTTTAACATTACTCCTGGCGCAGAGTCCGTGCTGTTCAGCAGAAGTGATTACAGTATTTTTATTGCATTCTGATATTAGATCCACTTCAGTGTCTCCCACAGTGTTCTGCGTGGTAGGCTTAGCAAAGGGAGAGGCAGGAACCCAGCTGGAAGATAGAGGGCATGCTAGGCCCGGGGAATGGTGGAGGAAAGGCCCTGTGTTGGGAATGACTGAGCTGTGATGAGGACCCGCTCAAATGTCACCACATCTGCCCACCTCCAGACTCTGCCTCCCAGAACCTCCTTCCCTTCCCCCAGCTCCTGAGCGCTGCTCCTCTGCTGGGAGGTGTTTCCAATGCATCCTGTTGGTTTGGGGAAAACAGCCTTCGTCTGGAGGCAGGCATGCCGTCTAGGTTGGCAGCCTACAAGGTGCCTAGGACCCTGGCTGGCACACAATAGTCAGGTTAGAAAGAAAGTGGCTTCTAATAAACCCTGAAGTAAGAGAGACAGGGCAGGGGTGGGGGTGGGGAGCATGGCAGAAAGGCTAAGCTGGGGCTTGTGAATAAGGGCCTCCTAGGGGCTCCTGGGAACCCTGCTCTGCTCTGCCCGGAGGCCAGCTGCTCTGGGAGGAGAGGTGTCTCAATGTGGCTGGGAGGGGAGCGCTCCCCTGCCCATCACTCTCACCCTCCCATGCGATCCTGCATGCCGCAGCATACTCCCAGAGCTTGCCATCCATCCTCTCCCCTATGTCAACCCTGGGCCTAAGGGGTCTGAGCGTGTGGCAGCCACTCTGCCTGACAGACGCTGGGCAGCCTGCCCACGGCCCAGGGAGGGGGTGAGGAGGAGGGGACAGGCTAGGGAGAGGCAAGGGCTTCCCGGTGTCAGCAATGGGAGAGCCAGTGGGTCAAGAAAGATACTGGGTGCAGTCAAGATGGGGTCCATCCATCTAGGCCACAGAATCAGCATTCAGGACCCAGGTGCCAGCCTTTGCATCTGTAATAACGAAGCTGACAACGTGTCTTCCTGGGGCCAATACAGTCAGGTTTCTCAAGCCATGCTCTTAGCCTCTCTACCTACGTGCCCAAGGCTCAGACATCTTTTCCTGGGTGGGCCTCCTGGGGAAAAGGTGCCGGCTTTCAGCCAGTGCCAATGTGCCCTCATCTACCCTGCTTGATCTTTCCCAGCAAGGTAAAGGGCTCTCCCTGGGGTTGGGGTGTCGTGTGGGTGGCTCATGGGGTTTTCCTGCAGGGCTGCAACCCAGCCTGGAGGTCCCACTCATTCTCCAGCGTTGAGGCTTGCCCTGACCCAAGGCCTGTTTCCCTGGCTAGTCTGCCCCTCCCTCAGGCCTCCTTGGGGTGGAGAGGCTGTGGGATCCATCTGGATACAGAGAGCATGGGCCTGATGTGCTGTTTTTAGTGCCGTGGGAGAAATCACAACAAGGGGTTGTAATCTCTCTGCAATTTGTCTCCTCGATGAGGCATCTGCTGGCGTGCTGTGAGGGGATTCTCATCTGAGCAGACAGGGCCTGTATCTGGAGCCAGCTTCATGGGGTGACAGGACTCAGGGCCCCTTCCACCTCCCAGAGGCATTTGACTTTGATCTAAATCAGGAAAGCCATTAGGGGCCTGCCCTCCTTCCCCCTTCCCCTCTCTGGCTGACTCAAGATGTGTCCTCCAGCCCCCTCCACCGTGAGTGGCACCTCTTGGTTCATTCTCTGTCTGAGCTGGGTAGTCTCCTCTTTGCCACCCCTGACTCTCAGTACCTCTGGTCAGCTCAGTCACTGCTCCAACCCTGTGCTATGTCCTAGAGATCTAGAAATGGCACCCCCTGCCCTTGGGAAGCATGGCAGAGACCAAACATGGGATGCTTGTGCTGATGGCAGAATGCACAGGGGGCCTGAGAGCTCATTGGGGAAACCCTCACCGCCTGGGGGCAGGCAGCTGAAGATGGAGAAGCCACTCATTAGTCAGGCAGCTGATGGAGGGGTGGTGGGAGGAGGAGAGGCAGGTAGGGGTGGGGTGGTTAGAGGAGAGGGTCTGAACATGAACTGGGTTCCGCTGGCCGTGGCCTGGGCAGTAGCTCTGTAAGAGCAATCTGAGGGCCCTTGCCCCCAGGCAGAGCTCCCCCTCCGGTTACCTTGCACTATCCTCTTATTTGCTATTTTGTAACTATAGGTGGAGGGATGTGCTAGGCAGTGGGGAAAACTGATTGAATGTGCCCCTAAAGCCTTCCCAACCCCTTCTTCATTGATCAGAGGTTGCTCTCCTGGTCACCAGAGCGCATGTCCTTGTGCCTCCCCTCTCGTCCCTTCGGCCCACTTCAGATTCAGCCGCAGCCGTGTGGAACAGCTCCCTCCATCTCCAGCGGCTGCCACCAGGCCTTGAAGCCCAGGAAGCAGGCTCAGCCCATGCGGGGGGCAGCCTGGAAGAGGAGGGAAGGGAAGGGCAATGCTCAATCACTCCAGCCTCCTGTCCTTCAGGGGTCAATCCTGCGGTGTGGTCCACATGGCCTGTCAGGTTGCCACCTGTATCTCTTCTTTGGTGCATTTTTTTTTTAATCCATTTAAAAAAATTCATTGTCTGTTGGGTCAGCTGTTTTTTTATTGCTTTGTTATTGAGTTCTGAGGACTCTTATATTCTGGATACCTGTCCTTTATCAGATGTATGCCTTGCAGGTATTTTCTATAATCTGTGGCTTGTCTCTTCATTTTCATAATATCGTAGTATCTCTCGAAGAGTAGAAGTTTTTATTTTGATATTATTCAACTTATCACTTCTTTCTTCCATGTTTTTTTCATGCCTTGGACCTAGAATTTAAACCCAGATTTGTGGGCACCACAGCCCTTCCTTAGACTACTGCGAGGCAGGTACCCCCAGAGTCACTCAGGGAATGTGCTGAAAATACAGAGTCCTGGGTCCCCACCCTGGGGACTCTGGGCAGAGCTGGGAGTCTGTATATGTAAGAACTCCCCAGGGGATTAGGGGATCGGCCAGCCGTGGAAAGGGCTTTAATGCAGGGCCCCTGACAGCCCCGAACCTTCAGAGCTGGTTATTTCCAGGTTTATTGCTGAGTCCTACAGAGAGCTGCTGGCGGTGGCATTTCTTGGTCCATTCCTTATTGTGCCCACTCTCCTCCTTCCTCCCCAGCTCCTTAGCACAGTATCCGCCTTTCAGCAGATGATCCAGACATGCTTCCGAACTACTCTTTGCCAGTAGGGGGGAGAGGCAGCCCCATCCACAGCTGGCACCAAATGAAGCCGAGTAGAAGCCCTGAAATTGCTGGCCTTGGTGTGAAGTGCTCCTGTTCAGCCCTCCGAGCCGTGGGTGGCCACTTAAGCCCGTCTCCACCATCTCCAGCCCAGCCGGAGGGTTCCCCACCTGGAGAGATGGCTATTTTAAAGTCGCTCCAAGACCAGCTCATTGGAGTTGAGGACACTCTGCAAGTGAACAGCTGGGCCAGCCTCCAAATGAAAGAAAACTGTGTTCGTGTGCAGCAGGGGGTGGGAGTGGGGAAATGGAAGTGTTTTGCTTTAAGAAAAACAAGCATCTAGATGTTTTAGCAACTTCTTCTGGCATGTCAGATCGTGACCTGCTTTCCCTGGGCAGATGGAGCTCGTCGGGGGCAGAAATGATGTTCTTCCCCAAACTGTGGGCACCCAAAGGGGGGAGCAAGTAAGACAGCTAAGATCTCTTGAGTCCCTAGCTGAGACAGGGTTTTATATTTTATTTGATCCTTCCAATAACCTATAAGGTCTATATTGTTATTTACATTTTACAGATGGAAAAACCAAGGCTCAGAGGGGTTACCTAACAGCCGGGAAGTGCTAAAGCCAGGATTTAAAATATAGCTAAAGCTGAGCTACTATAATAATAAAGAAGCCTCAACACACAGTGGCTTAGAGAATGCTGATGTTACCCGGCTGGCATGGCTCAGTGATTGAGCATCAGCCTATGTATGAACCAGGAGGTTGCGGTTCAATTTCCTGGTAGAGCATATGCCCAGGTTGCCAGCTGTATCCCCAGTAGGAGGCATGCAGGAGGCAGCCGATCAATAATTCTTTCTTATCATTGATGTTTCTTTTCTTTCTTTCTTTTTTTTTTTTTTTTTTTTTTTTTTTTTTTTACCATTGGGTATGTCTAAAGCCACTCAGACTGCATTCTCACCCTCTTACTCTTCCATGAGGAAGAGAAGAGCGATCTTCAATGGCTGATGGCAGTTGCAGAAGCAACACCAAGAGCCGGCTTCACGCTCAGGAGGGAATGCTGTGCCTCCTCCTCGTGGTTTCGGGTGCTCTACACGTTCACAGAAACTTCTCTGGTAACGAACTATAGAAATGATTCCTGAAACTATAGTCTATCATTGATGTTTCTACTCTCTCCCTTCCTCTCTGAAACACACACACACACACACACACACACACACACACAAATGTTCATGTTTATTTCATTCTCATATAACAGCCCCAGGCCAGCAGGAAAGCTCTGTTCCCGGGAGTTAGTCAGGGGCCCGGGGGCCTACCTTCTGTGTCTTCACAGGTCCCTTCAGTGAAGTCCAGTTCCTTCCTTCCCCACGCTGTAGGGTTGGAAAACTGTTTCTGTAAAGAGCCAGATAGTGAGCATTTTAGAGTATGCCAGGCATGCGTCTCCATCCTTCCTATGCAACTCTGTAGTATCAGAAAACAGCCATAGACAATATGCCAATGAATGGGTGTGGCTCTGTTTCAATAAAACTTTATTTACAAATACAGGCCAGAGACTGGATTTGGCCCAAGGGTCATGGTTTGCCCCACAGCCTGGCTCGGGTTCTCCTCTCATCTTTCCTCCATCTGCTCACCTGGTGTATTCTAAGCTTGGTGTGTGTGGCTGAGTCACAGGGAGTAGGAGAACCCATCCTCTGGATCAAGAAGGCAGGCTTTATTTCCGTTCCGAGCCATCTTGGGATGGTGTTGGGAAAGTTGCTAAACCCAGCTGACGCGTTTTTCCCTGCCAAAGCTGCGGAGTGGGTGGGCAGCCCCAGGGGGCCCCATGGCATCAATTTCTCAGATGAATCTCAGCACCAAGGGAAAGACGGGCATGCCTGCTTTATCTGCCTTAACAACAGTCTCTTCCCCCGTGGAATTTACTGGTTCCAGTTGCTGAAATCTCTCTCTTACTTCCTCTCTGCCCTGGTCCAGAGCTGAAGGAACCCCAAGAAGTCATTTATTCCAAGTCTTCTTTTCTTGTGACTCAAGGCCTCTAAATTCTTCTCAGGGCCATGTTCTGCACAGTCCCCTTCAACAGCCCCTTCTGTAGACACCCCCTCCCCCAATACCATCTCCCACACTAGAAAGAGAGGCAGATGGAACAGGGGTGTTTGCACAGCTTGAGGGGCAGGGTGTGGGGACAGGCAAATAGGGCAGGCCCCAGGATGGACAGATGGGCAAGACACCCAGCTTTCCCCTTTCCTGAATGGCCACGGGAGGAATAAGGTCGCCGCCCCATGCTCTCACAGAGATGCTGAGAGTGTGAATGAGAACAGCTTGCGAGGGGCTCTGATGGGCACTGGTGAGGAGACCTTTTGTCACCTTCTGGACCTGGCATTGAACCAGAGGACAAGTCACCTGACCCAAGTTGCTCTGCTCTTTTAGCCTTCTGGCTTACTTCCCACACGCCCCTGCACTCTGCAGGCTCTCTTTAATCTGGGGAGGGGACATGGATTTGTCTGGAAGGGGTTCTAGAATGTACTGTGTATGTCAAATCATGTGGGTATGTGTTGCACATACATTGCTTTTCCCTGGAGTGTCTGCAGCTTCTCAAAGGGGTCTGGGTCCCATAAAAGGGAATGCAGGTTATACAGACTGGGCTCACAGGGATGCTGACTTACTCCCAGAAAATCTGGTTCTCAAATTCCAAGGCTTTGAGGATGCAGCCTGAAGAGGTGCTCCCTGAGTGACTTTGAAACCCTAACACTGAATCTGCTTTGGGAGGTTTGTGATCAGACCTGCCTACAGGCTCATCCTCCCTCCTTTTCTCCCTCCCAGGCAGTCCTCAGTTTCCTGGCACCTAACAGTGTACCAGCCTCACAGACAGCCACACTTCAGGCTACAGGTGATGTTCTCAGGGAAGGGAACTCACTCGGCCCACGCAGACATGTGCTCTCAACCGCCCCTTCCCAAAGGCTTTTAAATTTTTTAATTTAAATGCATGGATTTCTGTCTTGCAAAGGAGTTTTTTTTCTTCTGTGAGTCTTACACTATGTGGAACTGGACTTGGATTCTTAACATAGAGTACAAACAGGGTGGTTCATGTGCTAATGGCCTTGATTATGGCAAAAACTACTTCTGTCTTGGCCTCGTCTAAATGCCTCCTCAACCCTGCTTTAACCCGAGTCTGAAAGCTGACCACGGCACACTCATGAAAGACAAGAGCAGCAAAGGAGGAGGTTCCCTCGGGATTGCCCTGCCCCAGTAGACCCTGACCATATCTCTTTACAAGTCATAAGTTGCTGAAACTATCTCTGACAATCAAATGAATCAAAGTGGGAGGATGATCTTATGCCATGCAAGAGGCAGTGTTGCCTAGTGGTTAGGAGCACGGACAATGACCCTGGTGTCATGGATATAGATCTGTCCCTTGTTGGTATATGGCTTAAAGACCTCTCTGTACCTCACATTTTTGGAAATGGGTATGATTATAGTAACTACCTCATAGGATTCTCATTAAAATTAAGTGTTTTAATATATCTCCAGCACTAATTAATGACCATTGTTAAGGTGGATTCTAGACTCAGGAAACTGAAGGGAATAATTGACTCCCAAATTATATTTTGCCTATGAGACACAATCAGTGAAAACCTATTTCTGAGACTTTGTTTTCTTTCCCTCATGAGTGAATCTGGTCAAGTGGCTCAAGTCGAATGAACACTTGATTGAAGCCAAAGATTTGCTGCCTTTAGCATCCTAACAATTTTCATGTTAGTTTCCATCATAAAAAAAAAGTTTGTGAAAAAAAAATGTTCATTTATTACAAATAGCTGCACTTCTATCTTCCTGTTTTTGCTCATTTTTTACACCAATAAACACAGCGTATTCAAACAGTTGCACCAACGTGTTACATGGTGCAGGCCAAATGGAATGGCAGTCTCAAGAATGGGACTGTTGTTTTGTGGCATCTCAACATGTTTGCCACTGGTTGTGCTCAAGTCCACATTTGCTGGAGGAAAATCAATTTAGGAGTGCCAAAGACCAGTGTCTGATGGTGGTGATGGCCTGAACACCAAAGACCATCGAGGCTGGGACATACTTCTGAGTTCAAGTCATGAACTGCTTGTTGAAAGGACAATTTGTCACCATGAAGTTGGACACGGGCATCCTTCACCTTAATAGCGGGCCCCTTCCAAGAGAGCTGGCTATAGGCAACCCTTCACAACATGAGTCATAAATATATTTAAATTTCTATTATGAAATGAAGATGGTCTTCTACAAGAAAATGAACGGATTTGAAAGTTTTGGTGATAGAGTCAGGTCTATGTCATGTGGTAAGAGAGATTTGAGAGCACTTCGAATAATTGCTGTTCCTTTCTGTAGCAGAAGCTTGAAAAGGGGGAGATTCGTAAGTGGAACTATGGGGAGTTCTGGTGTATATACTCTGCTTCAGACGTTCCAGGGAACCGCTGATACTCAAGGCTACCTCCTCCTCCCTTTTTCTCTTCTGTCCTCTTAGAGAGTGTCTTACATTACAGCTAAGGACTCTCACTAGCATCTCCATTTCTTTATCCCACACTTTTTCTTTTATCTCCTTTTGTGATTGGGGTGGGTTAGGCAGGGTTGGAGTTTCTCCCTCTCTGCAATGATAACAAGATTATGTAATCTTGTTATTGTTCTTAGTTTGATGTCTGGGCAACATGTCTGGAACTAAAACACAGAGAGAGGCCTGGTGCTGATGGGCAAACTTTCACATGTTGACAGTCCTATGGCCTGTACAGTGGTGCCTCACACAACGAACTTGCTATGCGAAAAGTTCGTTATGTGAAACACGTTTTCCCATAACATGTTAAAAAAAATAATTCGTTCAGTAGCATAAAATATGCTAAGATGACATAAAAAAGATAAATTTTTTGTTATTATTTTTATTTAGATACATCTAAAAACATAATTTTTTTAAAAAAAATTATATAAAAAAAATATTGAGTTTAACTTAAAAGGACGACTGCCGTGATACATGCGTGATTTAATTCGTAATGAAGAACGATTGCCTCGATACGTGCTTAAGTTAAGCACAGTGACTAACGACTGCCTGCAGTGCCTGCGCGGAAGGATGCAATACATCGGCAGCGATCGTGGAAGCTCGGGCGAAGCAGTCGTGGAAGCTCGGGCAAAGTGGTCGTGGAAGCTCGGGCGACTTCGTTGTGTGAAACGAAGTTCGTTGTATGAATCATGAAATGAAGTTCGTTGTGTGCAGCGTTCGCTGTGCGAGGCGTTCTTTATGCGAGGCACCACTGTATATAGAAGCAACCAAGAGTCCCCGGGGGAGGGGTACCATCACCAGATAGCACTTCCTCAGGACAAAACACTGAATTCCTTCCTTCTCCTCTCATGGTTATACCCATTGATTTTTATTTATTATACTTATTTTTAAAAAAATATTTTTATTGCCTTCAGAGAGGAAGGGAAGGGAGAGAGATAGAAACATCAATGATGACAGTCATTGATCGGCTGCCTCTTGCACAACCCCTACCAGGGACCTAGCCCACAACCCAGGCATGTGCCCTTGATAGGAATTGAACCTGAGACCCTTCAGTCCACAGGCCGATGCTCTATCCACTGAGACAAATGAGCTATGGCCCCACTGCTTTTTAATTCTGGGATGTGGGCTGTTTTGGTGATGGAGTTTGCTGCATTGGTAAGAGTGTTATGTCAAGTAGTGTTTTGGTCATATAAACATTTGTGAATGTTTTTTCTATTCCATCCCCTACTCCAGTCAAGCCAGTGAGCAATGGAGGTCAAGAATGCCTTCTAACTTCCTACAGGTCAGCCTGGCTGCCACTGTCCCTGCACGATCCTGGAGACTCCAAGGAGTTTCAGAGACCAAGGCGAGTCTAGTCCTGTGGTCCTAACCAGACTGGGATCCCACCATTGATCTTGTCATCCTATGTTTCTCCAGGCTATAGGGTTTCTCTGACTTTGGAAGACTTTGCTGTATCTTCACATCTCTTATGATTTCCCATCAAGTTCTCAGATTAGGTGGTCCCAGGCACCCATTCCCACCTACTCTCTCCCAGAGTCCAGTATGGGTGTCACAGCTGACAGAGCACGCTGCCATGTCCCACGGCACCAGTGGGAATGGACATGACATGTTCAGTGCTTCCCTTTGAAAGTA